CCTCTTCAACACCTGAGTTCTCCTATCATTTCCCCCTGTTAATTATCTTATTTCTATAGGGCTAGTTCACAGACTAACACAATCTAAGATACAAAAGCTACACAATTTTGGAAGATTGGCAGTCTTCTACAACACCCAAAGAGTAAACCTGCCACCCTCTGCCAGGCCAGCCGGATCCTAGGCTGTGCCTGGAGCTCCTTCCCATCCAAAATTCTGTCCACTGGGAAACACAGGCAGCTGCAGCACCATCGTCCAGGCATCCTTGAGGAAGAAGAGCCAGAGAGCCAGGACCAGGCAGAGAGCCCGAGAATGCTTCTTTTATTTCCAGTCTTCTCGTCCATAATTCCACGTGCTCTGGAGGCATTTAGCTTCTCAGCCAATCCCGTCCTAGATTGTTTACCATTGCCTTGGGCAACCTCCTCCTACAGCCCCTTCCTACTCCTCCCCAGTGATCCGATCCAATTTCTCTGTATCACTTCCATCAGCATGTGTGAGAGTTTCACGTCCTTGCTGATACTTGGATGTATTCATCTATGGGTATTACCTTTTGCACTTCACTGTATTTATTTTTGTAGAATGACACAAGGCTTCAGTTCTCAGAGGCTGAGACGCTGACCAGCAGGGGGTTGTTCTGCTACTGGGCAGGGGGCCTGGCTCTGAGTGGGTCTGCCTAGGGTCAGACGGTAGTGTGTGGATTCTTGACTTTGTGTAGGGAAGTTATCACAACATGATTCCAGGTGACTTTAAGGGTAAGTTTATTAAAACTAGGGACAGTGAAATAAGGAAGAGCTTAGAAATGAGCCTGGGCTGGACTGCTTTGGCTAAGAAGTCAGAAAAAAGGGTTCCTTGGGGACAGACAGACTCGGGGGTAGCCCAGGGCAAGCTGCTGGCCGCCCACTGACCCCCACCCCCCTGCTGCAAGCCTCTGGGATCCCCTAGGGTTTAGGAGATGTGTGTCTGTGGGGAAGGAGAGGGCACCGGTGTACTCCCGGGCAGGAGAGAGCGCCCCAGGACCTTCCTTTTCAGGGGTTTTAAAGGCTGAGAGTTTAGGGGAGGATCTCTATAGTTTATTCATCAGCTTTGTGCTGATGAGCCAAAATGAGATTTATTCCCTTAACTTCTTTTGTCCTTGGGTGTGGTTGGCAAGCGGCACTAACTGGATTTCTGCTCTCTAGCTCCCTGGGTAGGGTGATTGAAGCTATTTACTCTTGGGTTGGGGTAAGTGCAAACCACTTACTCTTCAGTGTCTTGGGTTTAGGGAGGATAGGAATTACTAGATGGCTGCAAACTCTTGTTTAACGATCTGTCTCTGTTTCCCCCCACTGCTTGTCCTGGCTCCCTAGCCTGTCTTGGTCCCCAGAAAGCTGCTCACAGTAACTCATGAGTTCCGACAAGGCTTTGGAGACCTTCATTTGCTGTATGCTGGACCCCAGCTTTGATGTGGAGTTGCTGCACGAGTTTATAGGCCTGTGCAATTGTTGTCGGCAGTTGACACTGTCTGCTCTCAGCTCTGGGCCCCACGGTTCAGGGAGCTTTGATAGTTTTTCCAAGAAGCACCTCTATGGCCTAGCTGTCCTCAGGCCTCGGAGGTGGCCTAGCTGTCCTCAGGCCTTGGAGGTTCCTGCGGTTCCCGCCTCACCTCAGCCCCAAGGCACAGCCCACAGCCTCAGAGTTATCTTAGCACTTGAGCTGTTCTCATGTGTGTGCTGTGGTGTCACAGTATGGGTTTTAATTTGCAATTCCCTGGTGACTAATACAGGTGAACACCCTTTCATCTGCTAATTGGTCATTTGAATACCCTCTTTTGGGTGAAGTACCTATTCAAATCTTCTGCCCATTTTTTCAGCAGTTTGCCTGCCTTTTTCCTATTCATTTGTAGGCATTTTTTATACACGTGTTCTGGATACAAGTTCTTTGTTAGTTATACATACTGCAAATATCTCCTTTCACTCTGTAGCTTGCCCTTTCACTGGCACCTTTAAATTGTTAACCTGAAAATAAAAGGCCAAAGTGAGAGGCAACCAGCATTTATTTGAGACCCCAAAAGAATAGCTATTCTGAAGCCCACGTAGTGTTCCGATTAGGAGACAGAGACAAGGGTTATTTATGAGAAAGGGAAGGGGCAAGATTACATCAGTGGAAGGAAGTCATTTCTAGAGGGGAAGATAAGCTTAGGCACACTAATTCTAAACAATGCCTTAAATTTTCAGTCATCGGTCTTGTCACAATATCTGCTTTCTTGTTATCTTTGCAAACAGTGCTTTGGGATATGATATTGCTATAGGCCCGGTCCAAAGTTATTTTGCCCTGTTTTAACATTCCAGAGCTTCAAGGACTAGGATGTGCAAACCAGGGACTTGTAGTTCCTCTGCAATGGCTGCTCTGACTCCATTTTAAAGTGGCTCCATTCATATTATTATTATTTTTTTACATAGTGAACAGATGTTCTTAACTTGAATGAGGTCCAATGTATCTGTTTTTTCCTTTATAACTTGTGCTTTTATGTCAAGTCTTAGAAATGTTTGCCTATGTCAAGGCCATAAAGTTATAGAGAATGAATTTTTAATATTTACCCTGAAATTAACCTTTTAGATATTATACATGGGATCATTCATTAATTTTTTCAACAAACACTTAATGAATCCCCTATGTGCCAGTCAATGTGCTGGGAATTGTAGGGGACATAACTTTGGCCTGTGTCCCGCATGCACTTGTGGAGAGGCTCAGAGACGTGACATCACTTGCCCCAGTTCACACTGTTAGTGTGCCAAGGCTGGGCATGGGATTAAAACACAGGATAGACCGGTTCCAGAGTTGGGGCACAACCACTGAGCTCCTCTGTCTGCAGGAGGGATGTGGAGACACCAGGAATGGATTTTTTGTATATTTTAGTCTGTAACTACCAAAGCACCTTGGGAAAAATGTGCAGAGTCAAGTAAGGAAACAAAGACATGTAAACAAAGCAAAACAAAACAAAAAACCCTATAGTTCCAAACAATATTATTATGAGGGAGATGGGAGTGAAGTGTTTTCGAGAAAGGGGGGAAGCTTCTGGCTTTGGAGTCAGGGAGGCTTCTTAGGGCCGGACAGGGGGTACCTTGCTGGCACTTAAAAGGTGATCAGAATTCATACCATTTTGGGGAGAGAGCATCTGAGAGTAAAGGACCAGCAGGTACCAAGCACAAGAGGTGGACAGTGTGAAATCAGAATCCTCTACTCACCCCCAATCCCACTGCTCTGAGTTCTCTCCTTCACTCACTGTGCTCTTTTCATACTAGCCCTCTCCGTGGGTCACTCCATGCATTTCCATGGGACAAAAATGCCATCTCTGTGTGCTGATGGCGTCCAAATTATACCCCAGCACAGTGGTCTCCCTTAGCTTTGGACATACACCTCTGTCTACTGGACACCTCCACCTGGCGTCTTGCAGGTTCAAAAACGGATCTGTGGGGTTTTTTTTAAATCAGAAAACATAAAATAGCAAGGTGCATCACATGTAAAGACGTGTTTTTCAATGAAGCCACTGTTTCACATGTACATCTATGTGTCCTATGTCATGCCAAAAAACTTTGAAAAACACAACTGGACTTAATGACAAAAGGAGTGGGAGGACCCAAGGACATCTGCATCTGGGCAAGAAAACCAGGGAAGTGAGAAGGAGCTGATATCTGGGGAAGATGACGACTTTCGTTTTCCATGCACTGATTCTGACTTACACTGAGTCATGCACAGTGGGTGCTTCTTTCCCTACACCTTCCAGCCGCTGGTCAAAGTCTGAATGAATGAGTGCTCTGAGGAATGAGGGGGTTTCCCCTCAAACTCATGAATCATTGGCTCCCAAAAAACGTAATGCTTTCAGGAGGAAGCAACATTTATTGAACCCTTACTACAGGCTGGGTTCTCTGCATCCAGTTCCTAACAAGAAATACTCTTAACAGAAATGTGAGGCAAGTACCATTATCTCCATTTCACAAATGAGGAAGCTGAGGCTCCATGAGGATGAGGAACTGTCTAAGGCTGTGCAGGCAGCAGGTGATTGGCTGGGCCCTACCATCTCTGAAAGCATCAATCACCAGGGCTCCTTATGGCCTCCTGTATTTGTTTCCTGGGGCTGCTATAACAAATTGCAACAACCTTGGTGGATTGAAATAATAGAAATTTATTTTCTCACGGTTCTGGTGGTTGGAAATATGAAGTCAAGGTGTCAGTAGGGCTGGTCCCTTCTGAGACTGAGTCTGTTCCAGGCCTCCCACCTAGCTTGAGACCCTTGGCCTTCCTTGGTCTGTAGGTGCATCACTTCACTCTCTGCCTCCATCTCCACAGGGCATTCTTAGAGGGACACCAGTCATAATGAGTTAGCCAGCCCCACACCCCCACTCTGGTGTGACCTCATTTTTCATTTTAACTAATTATACCTGCAATGACCTTATTTTCAAAGGAGGTCATATTCTTAGGTACAGAGGACTAGGACTTCCGCATATCTTTTTTGAGGAATACAGTTTAACTCATAACACCTCATTGAGTGGTATAAACCCTGAAGTTAAAAGGAAGAAAATTGTTTTCTATTGATTTGGAGGATTTGCACCAAAAGTTGGCTTTATTTCTTGTTAGATTCAGCAGTTCTCCAAAATTGGCTGGATTCATAGATTTCCCACAAGTAATTCTTATGAATATTTACAATCCCTTAAATCTCCACTGCCTCCTGGACAATATAATACCAGGCATTGCCATCTCATAAAAACACAAACTCACCATCTTTCCGTCCAAAAGCCACCTTCCTCCTGACTTCCCTGTTTTTCACAAAACTAGCTAAAATGTCTCCATTTTCTAGAAAGATTTTTTCTATTACCCGTACACCTCCCAAGTTCAGTTCCCTAGGGTCGCTTGGTAAGGTACACGGGCTTCCCAGCTCCTCTCCTTGCTCCCAGCCTCTTCATCTCTGATCCAGGCCCACACTTCTCTGTAGGGCCAGTTTTCTAGAAACATACCTCCAGCCAGTCTCCACAAAAACCTCAGAAGCTTCCGGCCACCTGGTGGCGGTCCATCCTGCATTCAAGGCCAAATGAAATTTGGCGCAGGCCTCACCTCTGCCGTCCCCTTCCTAACGGAACAATGCTCCGACTGTCAAGGTCCAGTACCATCGCCACCTTCTCCTATTTTCGCCTTTCTCTAACCCTCTGGCTGCACGCCGTTTCACTGCTGAGCTCCTGACGCACCTGGCATCTCTCCCGGTTATTTCATTCTAACTGGTATTACGATTATTCGTTACATGTCTAAGCTTCCCCACCAAACTCAGCTCTGTGCGCCCCAGACAGGACCCAAATAGGAGCTCATCAATCTTTGTGTCTTGAATAGATCCAGGGAGTCTCCTCGAAGGAGGAACCTTGCTAACTACAGGGTAAAATCCCTGAGATTCGGCTCAGCCTCTGTCTGGGCGAGAACGTTTCCCCGGGGCAGTGGAACGAGTCTCCGGACCCAGACGCGGGATTCCCGCACAGAGGCTCAGCTGGCGCGGGTCCTGATGCCCGCACGCAGCCGCGGCCCGCCGGGCGCTCAGGGGTACGCACCACGAGAACCCTCGGAACGCCGCTTGGGCAGGAGTCTTTCCGCCGAAAGGCCGGGTACTTGTGGGCGAAGCACGCAGGAACCGGAAGTCAGTGGGGGAAGCTGCGACTGGGGGGACCTAGCTAATTTGACTTGGAAAATGAACGTCTCTAGGGTTCTCGTGGCTGGAGGTAGGGTGCCTGGAATACTGGGTTAATTTCCCGTCTGCCTTGGTCCTGGAGTGTTTCCTCTCTCAGGCCCCATGTCCAGGTCTCCCTCTAGGGGTCCCAGCTGAGCTGACGGTCCGGCCCCCCAGCCTGGAGAGAGGGTGCTCCTCTGCACTAAGGGTCTGCTAGCGGCTGCGTCCGGGGCTGGGCGGCGGGCGGAGGGTTCAGCTTCCAACGGCCGCTTGCTTACCCCTGGCCGCGTTGTCAGAGGGGCTTCCCACTGCTTTTACAAAGTTGTTTCTTTTATAGGTTTCCCTCTGCTTGCAGAAATAGTCGTGTTAGAAATCTTGAAAAGTGTACAGGAGAAAGAAAAACTGCTCTTAAATTTACCACTCAGCTAAAACATTTATAATAAACTTATAAAATTTAGTTGTGTTTGATTCCACCGGGTAAGAAACAGGCGAAAATAAATTTTCTCAAGAGATATTAATTACAAAGCTCCCTATAAAGTTAAAAATGCCAAGAATGTTATGTAGTTGAAAGTATTTTTTTTTATTTACTGATTTTCTTAGAGAAAGGATACAGAGAAACATCGATTTGTTGTTCCACGTATTTTTGCATTTATTGGTTGATTCTTCCACATGCCCTGACCCTGCATCAAACTGCAACCTTGGAGTATGGGCGACTTCTCTGGCAACTGAACTACCAGGCTGGGGCAAAATTGTTTTTTGTTTGTTTCTTTTCATTTTATTACTGTGGCTACTAGAAAAATTTATATTACACGAGAAATTGTTATTTTAAATCCATGCTTCTTGGTGGGCACATGAGGGGGTACCTCCCAAAAAACACATAATTTATTTATAAAAACTTGTGCATTTATTCTTACATGTTTAAACTTCAGTTACCTTCAAGGGACTCTCCATTTGATGCAATACACCTATTGAGACTTTTTTCCCCCCACTGTTCAAAAACAGTTTTTGAACTTGTAGATTTGATGCCTTTTAAGTGTTTCTGCTGTTTCTTGTTTCACCTCTTTAACTTGAGCAAAAATGTTTCCCTCAGGATTATTTTTCATCTGGGGCAGCAAAAAAAAAGTTGCTTGGGGTGAGATAGGGTAAATAGCGAGGGCAGGGTAATGAGGTCAAGCCATTTTTGGTCAAAAACTGCTGAACACTCAGTGCAGTGTGAGGGTGCAGGCAGGTGCGCTTGTAAATCACCCATCATGAAATGGGCAAACTCGTTAGTTTTCAAAAAAAATTCACTGCAGCTGAACACAGCCCTTCACACCACCAGGTTGTACAGATACAGATAGGTTCCTAGAACATTCACCTAGCTGGGGAAGCCTGCATCACAAGGGGCCCGCCCACCAGAAGATAATTCTGTTTTTTGGGGGGTGTCCCCCCTCATAAAGTATCATTTCTATATAGTAAAACTTAGGACATACCCACAGAAATTAGAAGACATCTCTTGTGAATAAAAAACAAAACCCCCTATTATCTAGTTATATAGAGATATGCTTTTAAAACAACTTTAATGATTCTTCAGTAGAACTTAACATGGTCTACTAGTTCATGAATTGTGGGAGAGTCTATGTCACTCTGCAAAGGTTCTGGTCTAGCTGCAACTAGCACTAAGGAAGCATCCCAGCTTACATTTTGCTATATTTTCCTTTTAGGAAAGTGGAGATTTTTTCCGGTATCATTAAGGTCATCCTTGTTCCAGGCCCTACATAATTCCTGTCGGGAAAAATCCACTGTGCCCAAGAAAATTATTCCCAACATTGCCTTGTGTGACAAAAATACAAAGGAGTCTGCAAATGCACTTGACAAGCTCTTCTCTTCGGAACAGCAGGCTTCCATCTTGCATGTGTTGAATACAGCATCTAATAAAGAACTTGAAGCTTTCAAATTGCTTCGTGGAAGAAAGTCCATCAATATTGTAGAGCACAGAGAAAAGTACGGGCCATTTCAGAATTTGGAGAGTTTAACGAATGTGCCCTTGTTCCAGTATAAAACTGCCGTCCAAGTTTGTAACTCCATCCTTTGTCCCGAGACTGGAGCGAAAAAAAGAAAATCACAGGAAAACCGGCTATTGAAAAAGCTTATCAAACCAGAGATAGAAAGAGAGAGACTTAAGGTATATACCCTTTTTCTAACATGTTATACTGCCTAAATATTTGAGAACATACTTGGCAAAGTGCTATTCTGGGCACCAAGACAGGATTCTTCAGGCAGCTTTAGTTGAGTTGGTGGGACCAGACATACACATGTTAATAGATAACTTATTATGTACAAAGTAGTAGTTGATCAATAACAAAGAATGAAATGTACAGATAGTAAATTGGCAACTCAGAGAACTGTGGAATGTGACTGTTGGGGAAAGTTTACTGAAAAAACTCACCCTGGATCTCTGAGGGAGAAAATGGGCTAGCTGGGAGAGGAGGGCATTCTAGGAAGAGAAAACTGATGCAGAGAAGCAGGTCTGTGCAAGATTTATTGAAAAGGAATGTTGAGGGGTGATCAGGCTGCGGCGGACAGTCATGTTGGGAGCAATGAGAAATTAAGACGCAGAGGTAGGCTGTGGCCAATGAGTGGTTTTAGGACATTATACCAGTCTTTCCAGAAGGATTTAAAGTTTTCTTTCCCCCTTACCGTGTTACAAAGCATTCGAAAAGCAAATCTTTTTCAGTGTTGTCTTAAAAATAAGTATTAGAATTACTTGGTACATCAAATGTTAAACCTTGGAGGAACTTAGGTTCTGTGTTGCGATACTTGATAAAATATTTCCCCCCAGCTTTATTGAGATATAATTACATATTATGTAACATATGTAAACTTAATTGATAAAATATTCTTATCCTATAACAATAAGCACAATTTTTGTGGACCAGTATTCTCAGTTTTGGGGAGGATTACAGATAGTTTTTGAAACACGATGAAAGCATTGGATCTTTTCAGGAAAAAAAAAACAAAAACAAAAACAGAGCTATAACTAGAATGCTGCAGACACTTTCAGAAGACTTGCAGGGTTCGCCCTCGCTATCCACGGACTCCTGACAGAACCACTGCAGTTCGTCTGGAACATAATTGAACCAACTTCTTCAGGGCTTAGATTTTCATTCAAATTTATCGCAAAAACTATTGCTTATACCCAGATTATCATGGAATTGCATAAGCGTCAAGCAGCATTTAGAGGGCTAGGTTCTAAAGTCGGTTTGTACAGAGAAAACCATGCAGTAAAGAAAGCCCTTGGAATAATTCTGTTGCCCATGAAGTACTGTGGGCAACTTGGTTCAGTAATTCTTATGCACACAAAAGCTTGAGAACCAAAGGCGGCCTGTATTTTGTAGATGGGCAGCCAAACTATTCTACCTTTAGTGGATGCTTATCCATTCCTGAGCAGTAAAAGGGAGGAGTACACAGTCATGAAATGTTCCTGCTTCTCTGCCTCTGTATCTATAGAGCATGTTAATTTACTTGTTCATTAGTTCAAAACTAATGAGCCACAGTGGAGTGAGGTGATGCCACAGTACTCTGTCTGCAGCCATGGCCCAGAGCTAAATCCATATGTCCAGTTATCTATTACAAGTCTGCCCTTAGAAGGCAACCTGAACTCCATACACTAAAAACCTTGTCTCCCCAACCTTCTCAAGCTGACCTGCCTCCTGTGATCTTGATTAATGATGCCAGACAGTCACTGAAGTGAAACTGGAGTTATCCTAGGCATTTTGATCGTCTCACACAGGAACTCTACTCCCATTATTGCTGACCTGTTTCTTGTCCTCACTGTCTTAGATTCTTAATATTTTGTCATAAAACAGGGAAGCCAACACAAATCCCTACCTCTAGCCTAGGCTACTCTGGTCCGTCTTCCACATAGCTGTACATGATGTTTCTGAAATGTAGATTGCAAGTCACTGTTTGCAGAAATGTGGGGACCCCTTTGCCCTTTTCCCATGTGCACTCTTTAGTTCACTGCCTGAGTGCAAGGCGTCAGACTATGCAGACATCTGGGTGAAGGGACTTTCTGTTCACTGTTTTACTCAGTCTCCTAGTCCTCCAGTAAGTCTTCCCTGACCACTTTTTTTTTCCTCTACGGCACGAGTGTTGGGTTGTGGCATTTCTTACAATGTATGGCTATGTTCCTGGGTTGCCCAGTGTGTGGCACAGTCCTCAGCAACATTTGAATGCCCACTTTGAGCTAGGTGCTGAGAACTGACGGCTATTGCCTACCTTTTATACGTACTCCTACATTTCTTTAACAATTCTCAATTCATAAGCTGTGAATCCATTTGTTACATAAACTAATTTGGCTTTCTTATTTTGAAGTTTAAATTTTGTATGTTAAATGTTTACACTTGTAATTAAGCCAGCCTTTTTGTTTCAGGCAATAAATAGTATCGTATCCATTGTTTTTGGTACTCGAAGAATTGCCTGGGCTCACCTTGATCGTAAACTGGCAGTGCTGGACTGGCAGCAAAGTGAATCCTTCCAGTTGATGAAAGGAACATACATATCATCTGTCTATTTAGAAGAGGTAAGGCAGTTACGCATTCAAATCCCTACCTGCTAAAGATCCTTGTATAGTTGAATCTACTGCTCCTAAAAGGAATGTAATAAAACAGGAAGAAGGGATTTTGTTTTGGTCTTTATCACTCACCCATTCCAATTATGTTTCCCATCACCAATGAGTTTTTAAAAATGGAATCATTTATTTCAAGAAATACCTATATAGCAAAAAGCAGATACTAAAAAACACAATGGTAAAGTATACTATTCCAAATATTATAGAATTTCATCACTATATTCATTAAGTTTATTTTATAAATGCTATTATTTGTTGTCTGGAGTCTTTGAAACTTGGGAGGTGGGCAGTGATTATCATGTTGATACCTGCGAAAACCGGTCTGATCAAGCTCGTAGTGTGATCAGTCCATTGTAGAAGTGATTGATTTTGGGCGAATAATTCTAACCCTATGCTCTACTGTAGAAGTTCTTGAAAGGCTAATAAAGTTTTGACTTGTCTAATTTTAAAGTCAACATAGATTTTAGAAGTTAAGGTTTGCCTTAGCTCATCTTGTGTCTGATAGAACCACAGCCAGAATGTGGCTGTCCTGACTCCCCCATAAATGTTTTCAGTTACTTCAAAATTGTCAATAGTAGTATAAGTTCTGTAAGTTATATAAGTTATGTAAGTTCTAAAATTTTATTTTTAAAATAGAGTGGTGGAGGGATATAAGGGGACTAAGGTAATATAGGAAAATACAATAAAGATTAAATTTAAATAAATAAATAAATAAAATAGAAGTGGGACAGAGAGGGGACCTAAATAATAAAACTTAATGAGTTATTTCTACTCACTTTGTTTTTTAAAGATTTCTTCGGTCATTTCAAAGATTCCTAAAGCTGACTTCTATGTTCTGGAAAAAACAGGACTTTCAATTCAAAACTCAACCCTGTTTCCTGTACTGTTACATTTGCATATCATGGAAGCCATGCTGTATGCCCTATTGAACACAACTTTTGCCCAGGGCGGCCAGCATCAGGTCCTGAGCATGAACCGCAGTGCAGTGGGGAAGCACTTTGAACTGATGATCGGTGACACGCGGACTAGTGGAAAAGAGCTAGTGAAGCAGTTCCTCTTGGACTCTGTGCTGAAGGAAGAGCCCCGGGTGTTCTTCCCGTCAGACAAGATAGTCCACTACCGGCAGATGTTCTCGTCTACGGAGCACTACAGGATAGAAGAGCTGTATGACTCATTACTGCAAGCTGTTGCCTTCTATGAATTAGTAGTATTTGCCCCTGAACCTTAAAATTCTGATGATTAATATATAATCTGTTCTAATGTTATATTTATTAGCTTTAAAGCTGTAAAAACCAACTGTTTTGACATCCATGTTAATGGAGAATAAAACATGTTTGAGCGTATTTAAAGTCAGACTTGTGGTTGTTAAATGGTTTACACAATAAGGCAAGGCCAAATACGTAAATATCTTATGAGATTCAATACCTTTTAGGTTTAAGTCTTGAACAGTAAGATACCTCCTAACCAGTCAAAACAAAAAAGTTATCTTCCCGTAAAAGCAAATACCATCTGTACTGACTTCGCTGAAGTAGGGAATAATGAGTTTTTCTGGATGGTGCTCATCCTGGGAACAAGCTAAACTGATAACACAACTTGTGGAATCCTCTTCTTATTCTGTAAGTAGAATGTGGTTTGATGCACTGCCTCCAAAAGGTGATTTTCATAAACTCAGTCCGTCACGCCTAGAATAAACCAGGCTTGTCTAACAGGCTCATTATATTCCTTTGAACTCGTACTTGACAGACCATCTTTTGAGGAAAGTAGCACTTATTTTTTGTTGCCATGCACATGTAAACCTCTACAGTTCCACACACGGATGTGGTTTTATGCATATCTCCACCTTGGAAATGTAGATATGCAGATGTTCATACTTTACATGTCTGAAATCATTCTCCTTCTTCCAAATCACCTCATTAACTACTGTTTTGTACTTTGGTAAATAGCCTCACCAACCATCCAGTTGTTCAGGCCAGTCACATGGTATTCTACCTCCTACCTACTTCTGGAAATAGCTATAAGTAACAGTGACTGTATTAGACATTTATAAGCTAGGAGGCTAATTATTGAAAAGTCATCAAAATTTGCTTATCTTACCACAAAAAAAGAACTAAAACTACCAGGAATTTATCACCTTTAAGAATTGAGAAAAAAATCTTCCCCAAATTATGTTAAACCTAAAAAAACAAAAAGTTAAAAGTTCTATGGAGTTATTTTACTTTGGTTCCTCAACTATTGAGAATTATCAGAATTTCCTAATAATAGAAGACCAAATTAATAAGTAAGTGCTCTATGGGTAGTGAACTCTTGTATTCAGTAGAAAAAAATAAATCCATATACTTTAAAAAAATGCCTTAGGAAAAACCTGTGTAAGTTTTAGCCTATATCAAAACTCATACAATATTTACCCAGATGATTACATCTGGAATTCCTATATCCATATTGGATAAAGCCTTTTAGCTTTAGCTTTCAATTATAGTATATTGATTGATATTGATAGTATATTGATTTATAATCAATCAATATACTATCAATACAAGAAAAAGTGAGTTAAATAAGAAAAAACGTATCTTCATACACATTTTAAGCACGTATGTGTAGATATTTTTCAACTATACAAAATTAAGATCCTTACCCTTTGAGGTAAAAATGTAATTCACCAGATAATATGACTGAATATTAAGCAAATATAAATAGATTTTTTTCAGGTACACTTGATTATGTAATTGTAAAAATGCTTTTAAGTGAAATGTGGTATTTTAAAATCTTGCAATTAAAAATACACATTTTCTCCAAAATGTAACCTTAAGACAAAATGGCTATTATAACGAAATCCTGTAGTAGACTCCTTCTTTGTTACAGTTTTAATGAATAACATTAAGTACTTGTCCGAAGTAGATATATTAACATCATTATCTTTATGAAATAAAACATCAATGGTATAAAAATACAAGAAAAATGTACAAGGTAAGTGATTTCAATTGACAAAATATACAAAATACATGCATGTATGATTGCTAAAAAATTTATGAAAACTATAATTCATAATCTTGATTTCACTTTGTCAATATTCAGTTTTAATGGTAAAATATGATGGAGGAGTACCAAATTATTTTATTTTACCAAAATAAAATTATCAGGAAGATTTTTTAAAGGTAAAATCTTCAAACAGATTTCCTTTTTTAAAAGATTTTATTTGTTTATTTTTAGAAACTAAAGAGGGAAAGGGAGAGAGAAGGGGAAGGAGAGAAACATCAAATGGTTGCCTCTTGCACACTCCCAATTGGGGACCTTGCCCACAACCCAGGCATGTGCCCTGACCTGGAACCGAACCTGGGATCTTTCGGGTCACACCTGTGCTCAATCCACTGAGCCACACTTGCCAGGGAAGATATATCTTTTTTGAAAAATGAAGCATAATTTCTTTCTTAGGAATTTTTTGTATGCATTATATATGCAATTTTGTATTCTGGATTATACCGATTTGTTTAAAAGATTCTTATTTTAGAATAAAAAAATCACCTAGGAGATTCATATTTACAACTCAAGAGAGCACTAACACTTGGCTAGAAAGTGGGGGATTAAAGATACCAGGAAAGGGAAAAATTATGGATTAGTTTAGCAGTAAAACATCTTCAGAAGTATCTTAGTGAACTCTACCTCCTAGGAACCACTCACTCACATACAAAAATACTCCCAACAAAGCTAAATCAGATAGTACAAAAAAAAATTTAAAAAGAATACACCACATCATAAATACAATTTGTAACTCAAATGTTTTCATTTTAAATATCTGCACACTAATATATACAAATAGTCTGTTTTAAATGTACATTAAGAGATATAAACTTCCAGGAAAACCAGTATAAAAATGTATATTAACGACCACATAGTAATCTGTACAAGGCACTGTTAATGTAGAATATTAAGGGAAGCCCGCTGCCAAAGTATTCACAGTCTCTTTTGAAATGTTAAGGTGAATTCCTTCAAGATAGTGCAGGAACCTGTCAAAATTACAAGGCAAAACAATTTAATATTGATATTTCCATCAGATGAGAATATTCATCTTGAAATAGCTAACTAAAAATTTATAGAGACTTTACCTTCTTTTACTTTTTCCTTGTTCTTTTAGCTTCTCAGACCTACAAATGTTTCGAAGAGTTGGCAAGTATTCAATTATACTAGCTTGTCTAATCCCCAGGTTCAGAAGAGATCGGCCAGCAAATACACTTTTAATGACTGCTATCCTCTTCCGAGCACAGCTGTAAATTAAAAGTAATGCGTTACTTTTTATTTTTAATGCCTGATAAAAAAAAAAAGTAACAATCCCAAATCCAATCAGCTTCTGGTCTCCTTTTCCCTGCTTCTTATCTAGACTGGATCAAATGGATTCCAGATTAATTTCCCTGCATCGTTTTCAACCCATCAACAACTTCCATACTGAAGCATCTCTAATGGCTACTTGCTATCTGCCTCAGCAAATCCAAATCCCTTTCCCTGTCATTCAAGAGCCTCCCAGCCCTGGCCAGTACAGCTCAGGTGAGAGAAGCCCTGTCCTGCAAACCGAAAGGCGGCAGGTTCAATTCCTCGTCAGGCACACGCCTCGGTTGCAGGTTCAGCCCCTGACAGGGGCATGCATGAGGCAGCAGACCAACGTTTCTCTCTCTCCCGCCCTCCTCCCCCAAAATCAAAAAGCATGTCCTTGGGCGAAGGTAAAGAAATAATAAAAATAAATATGAGAGTCTCAAATCTAACCCATCCTAATCCCTCATTATTTTTTCTTCCTAGCATTCAGGATGGTCTCCTTAACTGTCTCATTAGAAGCTACATTATTAATATCAATAAAAGCCCAGCATTTAAAAATTAGTAAGAAGAACCTAATAATTTTCCCATTACCATTTATTATTAAAATATTAAAAAGTAAATAAAAAGTAAGACTTACTCTAAATTAGCAGCTGAATGACTAAAGTACACATCGTTGCGTTTTTGTGAAACATAAAAAGTAAGGTCTTTCGTTGGATCTTTGCCTAATTTCTTGCAAGAACTCAAGGAGGTTTCCAACGCTTTTGAGATAGTAGAAGAACACTTAGTGAAACTGAGAGCTTCCACAGCTGCCTTTAATTCTCCAGAGCTTTGAGAAGTCCACACATCACTGCTTTCAAGACTAAACTCATCACAAAGTCCACTTTTAACCTTTCCATTTGTCCAACTAAAGTCATTTTTACCAAGTTCCTTCCGTTCCCCTCCATCAGTTAAAAGGGCATCTAAGAAGGACATGTTATCCATGAACTCAGTAAGAGAATTTAAACAGTCAGAAACAAGGGCAGAGCATTTTTTTTCTGCTGGTGTTTTAGGAGGACAAGGAATAGATTCAATATTAGACTCTAAACATTTGTTTAGTTCCTTTGTCTCTGAATTGCTTTCTTTGGTTTTGCTTTCTTCTGAATTTGAGGAAGAAGATGCAGGGTGTAGGCAAAGAAATTCAGAAAAGTCCGATTTGGTGTCAAATAAGTCACTATCATCAAGAATTACCATCTTTTTCTTACGTTTCTTTTTTTGTGACTTTTTCAATGGCTTTTCTCCAGCCTGTTTCCTGGTAAGGCAGTTCATATGTTTTGTTGTTACACTGGTGTCCACGCTTACTGATGAACCACAAAGCTTTTCTGTTTCTGGAATGATGTCAACAGGTAGTGGAAGAATGAACTCAAGATTACTATATAAAAAATCTACACTCTGCATTTGGAATTCTGTAAGAAGCTGGATGAGCTTATGCCATTCTTCTTTTGTTTTGATTTTGTGCTGAAAAACAATTTTGAGTGAAGAAATGTTATGATGCATAGTTTAAGCATTTTTCTATCCACAGGAATAGTGTCATCCATATTCTAAGTAAGAAGTCACTACCACTCATAATTTATCAATCTAGTCAATCCCTTAAGCAATCAAAACAGTATTATAAATGTAAAATATTACTTTAGACTGTTAATTTGAAGAATTAAATTCTCTACATTCAGTATATACCCCAATTTAATAATTAGAAGCTCATTTATTTTAAAAATACTTCTCTGAAATTTTTAATCTGAAATATTTCTAAATTCTAGTCTCAATACTATTACAGGCACTTAGAGCAATGCCTGTGCATCATCTGTCACAGGACAAATGCGTTGAAATCAGTAACCAGAAGCCTGTAACAATTATGAGCACATTTAAGTTAACCTCAAGACTCAAAAGACAGGAGTGTTGAGAAGATGAGAATGAATATAAATTTAGCATTCCAAACTAGACATTGTAAATACCTTTAAAAATGAAAATAAGTCTTCAGATGGAGAAAAAATATTCTTAAGGCCAA